TCTAAATATATGTATTCAGCTTGTGTAAACATAAACGATGCTATCACAGCGAATGCGAGGCTGAGACTGAAGCGTTACCCTTTGTTTCCGCTGAGAGACACACCACATGACTCATTTCGTACAAGTTCTTAGGTTGACGTTCACAGTTTGACTTCTGAGATTCAGATCGAGTTCTAGGTAATTTTTTCCGAACTGGTTGATTCGAGTTTCAAGAAATTTGAGTTCTAATGAGTTCGAGAACTGAGGTACCACTGTATTTAGACAGTAAAAATACATTTAGACAATGATGGACAGTAACAGTAATTATTATATAATAAAATACATTTAAAAATAAAGATTTCTTATTCATTATTTTAATATTAATAAAAAAAAACATTAATACGTTTAATTATAATAATATTGTCGTGCCCAGCGGGACGGAACGGAGACAAAGGCGCAGACGTCAGGGTATCAGGGAATACGGGGGTTTGATTACAGGTAAGGCAGGAAAAATGCAGACAGACAATACAATGACCGGGCTGGGGAAACAAACTGAAACGCAGACGAAATACAGAGGGCTAATGAAAACAACCAGAAACATTCCACACGGGGTTAACGAGGGGGCGTGGCACACGGAAGGAGTGGACGATTGAGGCAGGACACATCGTTTTTTTATCTTTACACATTGCTTGGATACATTTATTTTCTTACTTTGCAAATTTCTGTTTTGATAAATGTGCTTAGATGTGTTTAGTACAGTATATGCTCTTCTTATTTTATCCGGTTCATTTTGTGTTTAAATGCTAAAAAAACATATTTAGGTGTAATTTTTGGGGCCGGGAACCAATTAATTGGTTTTCCATTATTTCTTATGGGGAAAATTCGATCACAACTCGAACTTTTTAGGATTCGATCCGAAGTTCTGAACGAATTAAATTCGAGTTCTGAGGTACCACTGTACATACACAAAGCATATACCCAGTGCTATGTGTGTGTCAGCAATACGTACTGAGGCAGGATATTTACTCTTTTCAAGAGAACCAGAGTTGTTAATGAAGAAGTGAGAATCGGACAGAGACGTTACGGCAGTAATTACTGCAAGTTATTTGTTTATCGAATGGGTGGTGCTTATGGTTTGTGTAGCCACTTAAATTGCAGTAAAACTATATGAGTCTGCTGAGTAGTCAATAGGAAATTTATCATTGGGCGTTGCTGTATGGAGCTGGCTTGTATTGACCTCAAACAGGCATAAAGATGAACTAAGAAAGGAGCAGATGTTTCACGTAAGAGTACAGAGAACAAAGACAGTTTATGGTTATACGACAGTGTTAAATCCACATGTTAGCATTACAGTTAGTGTACGTGACTGAGCCATAAGCAGGAACTGAAAAATAGTCTCCTGTGGTTTCCTCTATTTTATCCAAAGGAACATGCATTTAATAAAGCAGGATCAGACAGTCCTGGGGGTGAAGGGCCTTGCCCAAGGGCCCAATGGTGACATCACTCTGCTGACCCTGAGATTTTACATGACCATGAGCACAGAGTGCTGATCCACAGACCTGCAAACTGCCCTAAGCAGGGACCCGCACATGTGATGTCTGATACGCTGACGAGCCTTTGCACTGCGTGCTGCTGAACATGGGCACAGTTACAGCCCACACAGCCCAGGCCACACAGCTTACCGTATGTCAGAAACTCTGTCTAAACACCACATTCACCACATTTCAGTTCCTCGTTCCACTGTGTATTGATAACACCGTTTAATATATAAACGTAATATATAAAAAAAACACCACTTCATAATGGGTAAAATAAATCTATGCAATAAAATGCCTATTATATTAAACTGCAAATTCCAAAGACATAATATATCAAATGCACACTTCATCTGGCCCAAGGAAATTCAAATTCCATTATTGTCCATTGTAGTTTCTTTCTTTTGCTAGAAATTGCTCTTAAAATGATCTAGAAAAACTCCAGTTCTGCCCCAGATTTTATACGGACTTCATTAGACTTTGATCCATCCACATGGCTCTGCAGTAGGGATGGTGTTACACTGTTCACTGGGAATTTTCTATGGAGGCGCCCAAGCTTAAAACATCAGCCTGTGTCTTATATGCCCGACGAGGGCGTTACTAAATGACCCAGAAATCTAGCAGAGGGCCCATTAGACGTCAGCTCCTCTGCCCAGCTAATCCCATTTAGAGCGTCACTCATACTGCGTTCCATCTGAACATGGAAGTCAGAATTTCTGACTTCCTACTCGGAAAATTCAACTGGAATGCCCCCTGAAGTCGGACTTCTGACTTGGAGAGAGGAGGAACCTCTGCAACCCAGACCTCAGAATTCATGAAGGCTGCGCGCCCTTCATCAGCAGACGTGAAAGCTGAAGTTATAAACTGCTTATTAGCACTTGTGTCTTAATTTATCCGTTGTACAGACAGTTTTGTCCAACCTTTATCTGTTGATATGTTGCTACGGTGTTTTTATCGGCAAAATACCACATAATGTGTTGTTTTTGACTAGTATTACTAAAAATAGCTAACAATGAACCTGGGTAAAACTGGGGCTTGTTTCAGAAAGCAGGATTTCTTGCTTAGCCAGATAACGTGTCGGATTTAAGGTATTCTGGGTTAAATGTAAGTGAACGAAGATAAAGGCCATTTAACCTGGGACACTTTAAATCCGACAGGTTATCCGGCTAAGCAAGACTTCCTGCTTTCTGCAACAGGTCCCTGGTTTTGCTAAATGGCTTTCTGACCTGCTGTACTGGAACACGGTTACCTTGGGTGTGATGTCATTCCCAGCTCTGAGTTAGAGCAGCTCACCCAGGGCCAGCTGGGATCCATTGGTGTTCCATAAGGTATTAGTTACAGCACTGAATTTCTGAGGTGTGATATATATATAGTGTTTCAAGGGCTTTAAACCATGTTTACAATGTTTCTTCTTTGGATCTATGGATCTATTGTATCCACAGACATTTAGTGTGTACATGTGTATTTTTGATTGGTTTTGTACAGTTACAGTACAGCTCTTGCTGCAGGGTATGCACACACACACACACACACACACACTTATGAGTGCAATGAAGCCTGGGTCCCCTACCTGCTCTGCCAGTGTCACCGTCCTCGTTAACCCATAGCCCTCTCCCCTGACCCTTAACCACACGTTTCACCCCCAGGTGCGGGACAAGCTAGCGGAAGAGCGCCGCAGTCTGTCCGAAGTGATCCGACAAGAGTTCGCTGAGCGGCTGGTGCTCACCGAGGAGGAGAACCGGCAGATGAAGATGGAGGTTTCGGAGCTGCGGGCACGACTTCGCTTGGGGGTGGAGAGGGTGGCTCGTGAGAAGGAGGAGGAGCTGACCGAGGTCCATCAGCGGTGAGCTGCGGCTGCCCCTAACCGCCTGGCTGCTCTTTGGGTTTATGGTGCATTCGATTATCTGAGCCAAGTCGGAGCTGCCGAGGTGCGTGACATCACATCCAACTAATCTCCCATTCGAGCTACACTTCTCGGGACAAACATGGCTGCCTCCACAAACACGCTGCTGCGTGCTTTTGCTTAATAATATTTGGAGAGAAACAAACAAGAAACCCTAACTAGTCAAACCACATTAAAAGCTTTAAAATATTTTAGTAGATCCATAACAATTATTCTTTTTTCGAGAGGCGAACAAATCTCAAACAAACAAAAGACACTAATAAATCTGGTAAAAATCTGATATTGCATGCTGGGATACTGTTTACACTCATGATTTAGTATTCTCTAAAACAACCATGTGCAGTTACATTTATAACTATTACTATATTTAACAAAACATTTAAAAATATTTATAAAACAGAATTACTTTTGAGTGTGTAAGCTGCCATGTTGAAATGACGTCACAGGGGAATCTCATACGACAAAATTCTCCCCGACATCAACATCGAAAAGGGGGCGTTTCCAACAGGAAGTGACGTTTTCAACACATTTTCCTGACGTTTTTCTCCGACTTAAGACGCGGAGAGAGATAATGGAACGCAGGATTACTACTGGCCAATCAGGTCTGTCCTCATTGAGAATGTAAAGGAGATGAGCAGCTTATCTCCCTCCACTTCCAGGGTGAAGTCGGCCATCCTGAAGAAGGACGAGATGGTCAGTAACCTCCGGAAGCAGTACGAAGTGAGTGGGGGGTAATGGGGTGGGGGGTAATGGGTAGGAGAGAAGGTCCTGGGGTAAAGAGAGTAAATCCCAAGCATCATTAGTGAAAATCACCCTTCTACCCTCTACCCCCCCTCCCCCAGGCTGCCGTTAAGAGGGCCGACCACCTGGAATCCCTGCTGGAACAGCAGCGGAAGCAGCTTCTGGGCAAATGAGGCGGTGTAGACGTCATCTCAGAGAAGCCCCGCCGACAGCCACAGCCCCCACCCTGTGTCCTCTCAGCTAGCTGGATGTTCCTGACCGATAGTCTCTAGGGCTTCAGCAAACATTTATCCATATTTAAGTATGAACAGGGGCTGTGCCTCCCTGACACCACCGGAGATTCAGGTGGGATCCGCAGGCCCCTCCTCCGCCCTCACGCTCCAGGGTAAGACGGCCCCTGTCAGAAATAAATGGGGGGAGGTGGTGGTTCTGTGGGACAAGGAAGGAGAGATCATTGGTGGGGTAGGGAGGGCTGCAGCTGGAACCCCCCCCCCCCCCAGCCTGGCCCCGAGGACGCTGTGCCGGTTTCCATGGCAACATGCTGGGAAGGACACAGCAGTCTTTCTGGAGCCCAGAGGAATCGCAGGGGAGGGGCTGGTTTACAGTTTTACCAGGGACACCAAAACATTCCGTCAGAGGACAATGAAGTGGAGCTAAAGGCGGAGACAGTGACTCGTGATCGTGTGCCGCACCTCCCCCGGTGATCTGCTTATGACTTTATTTTTGGGTGCTTGTCATGTCCCGAAGGGGGGGGGGGGGGGGGCTGGCTCTGCGGGGGCCCTCTGGCACAGAAGGGGCTTTCCAAAGCCGGCATGCGTTTGAATGAGAATATGGCCTTTTTCTGCGCTGCACATATCATTTGACTCCGTGACCCTCTGGGCTTTTAATAATTACAAGATTTCCAAATTGGACCCCCCCCCCCACACACACACACACCCCAATGAAGCAGTAGGGTCATCACAGTGGGGACCGTTACTTTAGTAATAGATCTAATCTCATGTCTAAAATAGTTTGGGACATTGTGAAAGTGGACAGAAGATGAAATGGAAGATACTGTTACTTGTGTTTTAAGGAAATGGATAGATGGAGTCAGATGTATGACGGCTTATAGCTAATTAGTGGGTGCGGAAGGCCAGTCTTGGTGAGCGAGAGTGCTCTGAATGAGGGGGAGGGGCTATGGAATGTAAGGATGGGGGGTGTTCTGGTGCTGAGAGATCTTCGGGGATGCAGCTTCAGACAGAGCACGCAGAACTCTACACTTCATGCTGGTATCTTAGGGTGTCGTCCTTACTGGTGTGAATACGCAGCCTCACTGAGCAGCCGGCACAGCCCAGATATCCACTACCTTACCAGCGGCCAAAGCCGTCCTGTCTTTATTTCTTTTCTCTTTTTTGAGTTTTCCCTATTCTGTATGCATTTCTCTCCATGTCGGTACATGTAAATTGTGAATACTTTGTATTGTTCTGTAGTAATCCATTGGTAACGCAGAGATTTCATTAAAAATATTAGTGAATTTTACAAAACTATAATTTTTGTCTTTATTTCGATGATTGATGGTTGCTGAAAAAGATGATTCTTTTGTTTCATTGCGCTCAACTATTCCACGTACAGTTATTTAGTTGCTATGGAAGATCCATTTTCAGAACAGTTTTCACTAATCTGACCGCACTAGTGACCGCAAGTATAAAATGGAGCCTGTTGAATGTGACCTCAGCTCTGCCTCTCAAGGGCGGCCACTAAAGACAGCGGCTCTTGTTGAGGAAACATAGCCGGAGGCTGAAAGAATTTGCTTCGAAGGATGATTTACATAAATAACCGACTGCAAGTCAGCTCGGGACCGACACGTACCTGCACGCCTTACTGCGCGCCTGCACGCATCAATCACAGGCTGCGGCTCCCGGGCGCCCAGTTCGTCGCGCTCATCGAGCCGCCTACGGACGCAGTGATGGCTCAGATCCGGTGCCGAGCCGAACCGAGCCGGGGATGTGCGCGCCCTGGACCGGCGGCCCAGCCATGTGGGAATACATGCCCATCGGCGATCTGCCCGCAGCGCTCTTTGTCCAGCGCCTCATTATTTCGCTAGAGGAACTGAAGGGGAGGAGAAGAAGGCGAAGAAGCGGCGAGGGGGGCGGGCAACAGACTGCCAGCAGCTGTTGCTGGTTTCACAATGGGGCGGCCCCTGTTGGCCAGGGGCAGAGAGGCAGCTCAGAGCGAAAGGCGACTCGCCGTCGGACGCTACGTTGTATCCCTGATCCGGATGGTGGGATCGCCTCGTACTCGGACAGGGCGCCTGCCTCCCTCTTCCTTCGGCTGATGCTGTAGTAAGTAGCCTTTGTTTGGAGAAGATGATCGCTACTTAGTCTGGGTTGGAGAGAAAAGTGAGCGGAGGAACTTTCCCGTGTTAAAGTTTCTTAAAAAACTTTCCGGGGTCGGGGCGGCTTCGGGGTCCGGGTCCGCGCTCAGCCGCGCCTTGTGACGCCGTCTGAAGCCGCTCTATTTATGGTGTCTGATGTTTTATAAAACATCCAGCACTGCTGGTGGTGTTTAAAACGCCTCTAACGGTAGTTACGAAATCCTTGGGTGCCTGAGATATTACAGTGAGATATGTCGTTATTTACAACGAAAAACAAAATAGATGTTTACGTTTTTAGTACCGGCTGCAAAAAAAGCCCACTATTTGTATATATCGGCATGAATTTCTGCCGGGATAAAGTCATGAGATAGAGAGGAGAGGAACTGACTGAATGATTTTGAGCAGCAGGGGGGTTCAGCTGCTATTTCTCACGTTTGCTGCCAACTTCGGTAAATTAAAGTGCGACTCACTTGATTCCAGGCGCCTTACACTCTTCTGTGTCAAAAATAACATTTGTCTTTAAAAGCAACCAAAACAGTGGGGTCTTAAGCAGTGAAGTACTAAAAAGAAATTCTGTCTTTTTGTAAAATCTTTGTGGTATCTTTGCCCTTACAGGTCTCCTCAGAAACCTGTCTGCTACGTGGTGGGCATCCTGGACGTCCACCACGGGCCGGAGGAGCAGGGCCCAGCTGTAGAAGATGTCCATAAGTTATCCAAAATGTCTGGTGCTGTGCCTTGGCCTTGTGACGGTGCTGCTGATTCTCTACCTGCTGTTCGTCATCCCCCGTTTACGGCCTGTACAGCCTTACCCCAGCAGGTGGGTTTGCCACTGCTCGAACCCTCAGCGTGTCACGTGGTTTAGTGTTTTGTCTGAGAGAAAGAGGTAGTCGCTCGTCCAGTTGGCGTACAGCTCGTACTTGCAAGAAATACTTTGTGATCTCAGTGGTTTTCATGATTGAAATTGTTATGGTCTACATTCAGTGTTTTACAGATTTTACGGGAGAACATCAAACTCTTGAGGTTGATTTCTAATTATTTTTTCTTACAAGACCCTGTGAGACTTAACTGGTCGATAGTTTTACCTTTTTGACTAATTTTGTTGTTGGATATTTTATCGTAGCACCTTGGTTTGCACCCCCCCTTATCCCGCCCGTGCTTCAGATGTTAGCCCGTCTGCTAAGTCTCCATGAACCCCATGAAAACGGAATCCTCCGCGGTTACTCTCACTTCCTGCCTTAGGGTTCTCTCTGCAGAGGAGTCAAACCAGCGATTATTTTTTTGTCTCACTTTTTCTCATTTAGTTCTCAGCCATTTTATCCTTGTTTTCCACTCTCATCATCCTGTTCTGATATTCATGCCTTCAGACTGAGCCTGTCCAGCGTAGCAGGAGGCTTGAAACATGCAGTTTGTGGGGAAAAAAATGTACTCTGGGTAATAACCAGTTGTTTTCAATGGAACCAGCAGAATCAGAAATTACCTCCAACCCTCTATAACTGTCCCATCTAAGTATGTAGCTTTTTCATTACCTAGCCCATGCACTTTTAGTTTGTTGATTTATCTTTTAAAAAGTAATTTGTTTTGAAATATATTTGTGGAATGTGGTTGTCAATTATGGGGTAACTGTTTTGCTGGTATTTTTGACAGCAATTCAGCAAGTACAATTGTCACTTGCAGAAAGCCTCTTATTTCAGTGCCAAGAATGTGCCGATGAGATTCTGTGGATGCCAGAGTGTCTGGATCATGCCAGAGTGTCTGGATCATGCCAGAGTGTCTGGATCATGCCAGAGTGTCTGGATCATGCCAGAGTGTCTGGATCATGCCAGAGTGTCAGGATGCTTCAGAATTCAGTGTTATTCATGTAGTGTATATTCACAACATTACATAGTCTCAAAGCGCTTTACATTCCTGCCCAATTCCTGCTCAAAGCCCCCAGTGAGCAAGCCAGTGGCGACAGTGGCAAGGAAAAACTCCCCAGCAGGAAGAAACCTTGGGAGGAACCAGACCCAAAGGGGGAGCCCATCCTCCAGGGGGCAGCAGAAGAAGTTCAGAATAGCAGAGTCCCAGTTTCTAAAGTAAAACTGTTTATTGTCCAGATATAAATGTGGAAGGCCCAGCTGAGGTCAGGACAGGCAGGTGGGGGGGACTGTGGAACCTTGTTGGTTTTAATCACTCCTTTATTGCTCTGGTCTTGTGCTTAGAATCATCCTTCAGCTGAAAGGTGAACTTTTCCCCAGGCTTTCAATTTTTTCCAGACTGAATTTGCAATAAATTACTGACAGGAAGAAGATGTTGCTGTGTATGATTTGTAATTCATTTTAAGGAAAGTGTATGAACGTACAGTGGTACCTCAGTTCTCAAACTCACTAGAACTCAAATTTCTTGAAAGTCGAACAAACCAGTTTGACCTAGAACTCGATCTGAATATCAGAAATTGAACTGTGAACGCTGACCTAATATAAATTGTACGCGCCAGGAAATGAGTCATACTACAATGCAATTCTTACTTGAATGCCTTCTTCACAGACAGGACGATTAACCAAATAAAGCAGCGCAACATTACAGTAACTAACAATAAATAAACCACTAACTTACGTGTACAATTACGTGTCAGGATCAGAATGCGTTGATTTAAACCAGCGCTGTAAGCAAGTCGAACGCACCCAATGACCGGACTGGGGAAACAAACTGAACAATGACAACAACCAGAAACAGCTGATCACATGGGGATCCCACACGAGGTTAACGAGGGGGCGTCGCACACGGAAGGAGCGGACGATCGGGGCAGGACAGGGGTAATGTTGGGATAAGATCTTTATCGTTTTGGAAGCCATTAAGAAAAAAATGCTCTTCTTGTTTTATCCTGTTCATTTTGTGTTTAAATGCTAAAAAAAAAACATATTTAGGTGTAATTTTGGGGAGCCGGGAACCAATTAATTGGTTTTCCATTATTTCTTATGGGAAAAATTCGATCAGAACTCGAACTTTTTAGGATTCAATCCGGAGTCCGGAACGGATTAAGTTTGAGAACCGAGGTACCACTGTATATGAATTTATTATGGAATCTGTATCATGGAAAGCTGAGCCAAAGTTGTACAAAGCGGCGGTTTTCTGCTTAAACAGTCAAAAAGGATGAAACCTTTTTGAGTGCAAATGTCGAAAGGTACAGAGGGGAATCCCCCCACAGAAGGGAATCCCCCACGAGGACAAGATGGAGCAGTAGATGTGACCCAGGATGGAGAGGAGAATGGGGAAACGTCGGTCTTCTCTTCTGTTTCAATGACACCGAGCCTCAAAAAGGAATTAGTTGTAGCTCTGATAGTATTTTGGCTAATGGGCGTGAGTCAGCCATCCTGGTGGTTTTGGTGCTCAGTCAGTCGGCGCTGGGTAATGTCGGCCTGTCGATGGGCTAAGTACCGTCATCTCGCTTTTAGGGTTACTGGGCTACGTTCCCTGAATCTGAGACCATGCCATTTGGTGTGTCTGCTTTTAGAAGCAGATCGGTTGTATTTAGCTCATTTTGAGGTACACCCAGGAATGGGTCTATAGTCATCTAGCTTCCAAATGCTTATGCGGCACTTTTTTGTTGGGGTGGGGCCTGGATCCGGTCCCAGTCCCGGTATCAGGCACAAGACAGGGACACGCCTTGGATGGGATGCCAGGCGTTTGGTTATCTATGTTTGCATGCATTACTTGTCGCCGGAAGTTTCTGTGCAAACTACTCTAATTGCTGTAGGGTTATGCAGTGGGTGGATGGACATTAACCCCCCGCCTTCACAGATTCTAACCCTCTTTTTGTCCCTGTGGTCAGGCAGCCAAGTGGGACCCCTAATACCCCAAAGACCTCCAAGCCTGGCCAGACGACAGAGCCCACGTACATCGGCGATAAGTATGCTGTAGACTATGTGCCTTTTCAGACGGTGAGTGCCCACTGCCGTCGCATGCGGTTGAGGGTCCGTAGCAATGCATTTTGTGATAATGCTGCATTATGTAATGACTCAACAAAATGTAAGAAATTCTCAACACATAATGCGATATTACATAGTGCATTGTTACACACTGTGTAACAATACACTATGTATTAACTTGACAAAATGTCACAAATTTATAGATTACATTATAATTTTATATTGCCACATTACCCTATTATCATCATTTCATCGTTATTCTGTCAAGTTATTACGTAATGCGCATTATTACATAATGTGTTGTTACAGGGAGGCGATTATTAAATTATGGATTTCATGTGAATCCTAAAAAGCTCAATTTGAATCAGAGGGTCTTTTAAATACAGTGGAATCCTTGTATGTCTTACATTTCGGCAGTCCAGTTCTCAGCCATATTTTTCGGTAAAAAAATGTCTCGGTTGCCAAACATATCTTTGCTTCTTCACCAACCAACCCTTTCGTGCTAAAGCAACCTGTCTGACGAAGCGTGCATCTTCTTGTGCTTAAGCAACAGAGAGAATACGTGCTTATGAGCAAGTCCACGCCTAGGGAACATGTCTGCCAAACTGTGCTGTGAATATTCTCATGTTTTTTTTTGCTTTTGTTGCTTATTTTGTTTTTAAATAAGCCACCGTAGTTCCTAAGATGGTTAGTGATCGCAGCAAACCAAAAAGGAAATTTGTGAGAACCACAATAGAGCTTAAAAAGGAAATAATTGTATGTCATTAGCTCTGTACAGTACCAGTAAAGTGCAGGTAAATTTTCATTTATTTCATGTATTTATGGGCTTTAAAGTTTTTGTTTATGGTTTTAGCATTATGTTTGTATTAATCCAGGTTTAAATAGGCAGTCATTTGGGGGTCCAGGATGGATTAATCCAATTTACATTATTTATATGGGAAAAATGTATTCAGTTTTCTTCCAAATCAGTTCTCAAACAGCTTTCTGGAACGGATTAAGTTCAAGAACCAAGGATCCACTGTAAATATAATTAGTTGAAAAGTTTCTCTTGTGTTGTGGGCTTGGCCAGTGAGCTTACTTAACAAAACTCACTATTGGACAGGGGGTGACACTATTTTAACAGCTGGCTCTTGAGCCACAAGTATGTTTTCCTGCGAGTATGACTTACCTAAGAATCATGTTAAATGAGTCATATGACTCAATGGCTAAATGTGTTACCGAGTGACCAAGGTGCAGTTGAGCGGGTGGACGCACGTTACGTTAAAAAGATCAATGATTAAATCAAAGAAGGGCCGTACCTTTCTGGCACCATACAGCTATGAAGTACTTTTCAGAATGACTGATATTTGACACTTTCACACCCATGCCAGGCCTTTGTGGTAATGCAGCTATGATATAATAATATTAGATACTTCATTGATCCCTGTGGGGGAATTCTCTGTTTGCCTCCCCCATCTTGCTCTGTAGGGGAGAGCAAGCTGGCAGTGAAGGGCAGCCCCCTGCTGCAGTGCCCAGGGAGCTGGCAGTGAAGGGCAGCCCCCTGCTGCAGTGCCCAGGGAGCTGGCAGTGAAGGGCAGCCCCCTGCTGCAGTGCCCAGGGAGCTG